TTGAGGCCCCAAATTCCTTCCTGGGAGATCTCTGGGACCTCTCCAAGGTTTTGGAAGGTGACAGTAGAGTGCTCTTACCCCAGGAAACACAGAGGGACACTTTTTTCCAAGGGTTGTCTTGGCAGAATGAGGCACAATCTCTTTAAACTTTCTGGCACAAGGGAGCTCTGAGCTCTGGGTACGGAGGGAGGTCCATGTGCCAACCACTGGAGTGGGAACTACAAATCATCAGGGCTTGTGTTCTTTGGAGGGCCAGACACTGGTGAGAGTGGTGTGTGTGTGTGCACATGGAAGGACTTGAAGGGCACAATGAACTGTCTCAAAACACTGTCAAAGCAGGAAAATTCCATAAGGCTCCACAACACATAAGCACTGGTGGCAAACAAGAAGGCCTTTAATTCCAAGGCCTAAAGGGAGGTGAAGCTCTGGAAGTAGCCCCCAGGACAGAATTGCACTGTGCAGAGTGTGGGAAAGAGCAGACAGCCCCAACAGGAAGCCAGGGCTGGTAAGGCAGGTCTGGGGAACCCATCCAGACAAAGATTCCCACCTGCAGACTGGAAGCACACCGGGCAAAATTCCCACCATGGCAAGCTGTGGGAAAGGAAACAAGTCCTTGTAGACCTGCCTGCCCAAGCTGTGGGAACAGCATCTACCCCCCTGAATACCCAGGGCTTGGGCTGTATAAAAGTGATAGCCCAGAAACACAACTTGGGGACCCTCCACCGAGCAGAGCAGGGTGAAGAAGGACCGGCGGGAGCCTCAGGGATCTCCATGGTGTGATACATTTACTTCATCTCTGTCTCTGATCTCACTGTCTTCCCACCACCCCTTCTTCTCTCTCTTTCTATTTCTTTCTCTCCCTCCTATTTACTGTTAAATTGAAGTTGGACTGCTGACTTTGGCACATGGTCTCCTTTGCAGCTGAATTTGGGCAGAGGTGTCTCCTAATAACAGGAACAGAAGAGTATCCATGAGGTGTTACAGAGTGGGAATGGCCACTGGATTCCATGAGGTTCCACAGAGTCACAGGGTCCATTTGGCTTCGTAAGGCTCTGCAGTGTGATAATGGACCCTTGATTCCATGGGTTTGCAAAATGTCTCAGGACTCCTTTGGTTCTAGGAGGCCCCACATATCACAGTGGCCCCTTGGTTCCATGAGGTTCCACAGTGTCCTTGATGGAACACACAGGGCTGTAATGTTGTCACCCCTGCAGCCATGCTGGGCCTGATGCCCCCAGGACAGGCTTGGCCCTCCTGGCTGCCAGGGCACTGCTGACTCAGGGCCAACTGGCCACCCACCAGCACCCCCAGGGCCCTTTCCCGGCACTGCTTTCCAGCCTCTCCTTCCCAGTCTGTCCACCCATCCAGGGTTGCCCCATCCCAGGGTAGAATCTGGCACTTCTCCCTGTTGAAGTTCTCAGGGCTCCTAAAGAGCCATGAGGTCACGGGATATCAAAGAGCCCCATGGAGCTAAAGGGACCCTTGGGACACTGTGGAACCTCATGGAATCAAGGGACCTTTTTGAAGCTGTGGAACCTCATGGAATTAAGGGGTCATTGTGACATGTGGGGCCTCATGGAATCAGAGGAACCCTGTGGAATATCATGGAATCAAGGGGCCCCTGTTACACTGCAGGGTCTCATGCTCCAGAAGGAACCCTGGGACACTGTAGGATCTCATGGAACCAAGGTGCCATTGTGACACAGCATGGCTGCAGGGAATCAGGGCTCCATAGTGAAAGTCCATGGCATCATGGAAAAAATGAATCCTGGGACGCTGTGGAACATCATGGAAACAAGAGGCCATTGTGACACTACAGGGTCTCATGGAACTAAAGGAAGTGTGGAGAACTGCCAACGCCTAAAATCTGTTCTGACACAGTTTTAAACTCTTTTACTCTTGTTGGCTGTTAATAAAGACAATCTAACTGTGTCACTAAAAAGAGAAGTTTTATTCTTCCGTCCTCCTTGTCCACCCCGAAGTGGCAGAAAAGGCATGCAGTGTTTACAGTAAAGCATTTTTATCCCACCTACTACAGGAATTTTTAAGCTACAGGGAAGGAGGTACGCATGGACCTATTTAACATAGTCACACACTTTTTCTAACTCATCCACACTATTCAAATTTTTCTGACAACACACTGTCATTCTTAATTAGAAATTAATTCATATTTCATAATGAGGTTAACTAGAACAGTCTCTTCCTTCTCATTTTTAACTTTTGTAGCAGGTGTTCACCGCAGGTGTCCTTCCCCTGAAGTTTGCAGCTTCTTCTTTCCCTCTCAAAGAGTGCCCAAGGCTGTCTGATGGATTCCATCGCTATCTCTGAGGCCTCTCTCTGGGGAGCTGCCTCTGGCTCTCCAGCCTGAACACCTGTTTGATCTCCCACACCCCAGTTGTGATTCAGTTTTCTGGAATGATTATAAATCAATTAAAAAGATTTTTTGGGCCATCATCTAGGCAACTGCTGCCATGGATAACATGGATTGCAGGAATGCAGAAGAGAAGGACATGAAAGGGCCACCTGCAAGCAAAAGATATTTTTCATTTTCAGTAGTCTCTGAATTTTTGTTACTAGTTTTCTGTTTCTGTGGAAGAGTTCAGTGTCCTCCCTCCTGGGAGGGATAGGAACAAATGATTAAACGTGGAAAATGTTCTGGCTGAGCTGTTTGAACACTGCAAACTGTAATTTGTCCAGATGGTCTAAAGATGTCCAGATTATCAAAAACCTTACAAATTTTTCTTTTCAGAGAGAGAGAAATATTTGATGAAGAAATCCAGCAAAGGCAAAAGTGCAAGGCCAAGCCTCAGCCTGTGGAGAGCGGAGGGGTGGCACCGGTTGCCCCAGAATTACA